GGAGGGTGGGGAGGGGCTGGGTGGGGAGGGTGGGGCTGAGTGGCGGGTGGGAGGGGTGGGGCTGGGTGGGGAGGGGCTGGTCACCCCGTGGTGCCCTTATAAAACTCAACGTTTAACCTACTCACGCCGGCTTGTGCCCGCCCTCACAGTCGGGCATATTTGCGGAATACACCACACCGCCGTTGACCCTGGCCATTGACCGAGCAAACCAACGTTCCTACCAGCTCCCTCCGCAGGACAATGTGTTGTATTTATTACGCGAAGCTGCTGTGTAGCTCCCTCGCAGCAAATGTTTATGCTGTCGCCACGGACGCCCGCAAACACTGAGTGGGAGGCGAAGTTCAACAGGCTGCCTTGGTGGGAAGGTCCCGTTAAAAGGTCAGCTCGCAGCTTTCATACCGCGATGCATTCCGTCCCCTCCCTCCCCTAGGAAATTACCAATCGGGTGTAGAAAAAGGTCAAAGGCAAGAACCAATGATGCCGGGATATGAAGACAAGCACGCAGGCCACTTTACACGTTGAATGGCAATGTTAAAATCAGACAATGTCAACGAGAGGTGACCCATACAACGCATGGCAAGCCATTGCAAGGCGTCTCTGCATGGTTTCTCACTGAGGTGTTTGTTTCTACAGGGACACAAAGTTAATACATATGGGCCATTAAAAACAATGTCACTTACATCCATACCACCTTAGGGGCCTGACCTCATCAGCTTTTATGATGTTAGTTTACCTCTGGGTAGGTCTCGGTTTGGAGACCTTTAAGGAACATTTATTGACGTGGGATGTGGTATTGGTGGCTCAGTTGGGAGCACCTTTCCTTCCTTGAAACCCAGGTTACACAACAATTATTATTGTAAGATACGACCCTACATAATTATAATGATGTCCAGCTCTTTGTTAATCCGCTGCTGGATGAAGGCCTTCCCACGCCGTGTTCGTCAATGGGGCAGTTTTGACCATACTTCACCCAGGCTGGTCAGTGCAGGTTGGTGCAGGGGGGTGGGCCCAGGACTCTTTTAGATATCACTTGCCACTGATGTTAGCCGTGGTCAGGAATAAAATTCAGTTTTCTAGGTTCATATATAGAATATAAATACATTTCACATTCTGTCTTGAACCAATCTTTGGCAGGAGAAAGTACTGATTTGTCTTAAGTGCAGCTTCAGGATTAGGGTTACAAATAGTGTTGAAAAGAATGTGGATGTACTGTAGGTGTGCAGGGTGAAAAGGGCAAACACAGTTTATCTATCACCACGGTGATTTCAATGCGTCTCTAGAACTGGCCTGATTTTTGTGTATTTTTGGGAACCAATCACCCAACACATTCTGGCGGTACTGAGTATGTTTCCGCCCTAAGATATGTTTGTGCTTCAAACGTTTCCTGGCAATGTCTGATTGCGCGTCCGAATAATGAGAAAGTAATTGGGCATAATGATTGTAATCAGGTGCATGGCAAGAGTGAATTAAGCGGAAAATCAGTACAGTGGTGTTTACTTATATAAGCGAGGACGTATTTTACCAACAAGGGGGTAATTTTTATATCAAATTAATTGGTTGTCCTCATTAAGGACATGACTATAGAGTATAATATCAGCGCAGAAATTGTCTATGTATGTTGAACTTCTTTCACACCGTACGTAGCCAACCGTGCTAATCGGAGGTGCGGGGGAAGGACAACAAACGAAACACAAAAAGCAACAGACTTTTGAAATAAATGCCATGTGAAATACCAAAAAAATATAAGATTTTGACCAAGCAGCACCATGGCTATGTAGAACACGCTGTTTGAAATTAAAGGCGACATCCATGCCGTATTGGCTAAAAATATTTCAAACGAGATGAACATTTTATTAGTGATTTTTTTTTCACCCCCCCACCCCCCGCTGCAGTCGTCTGAGCTTTATTTATTCGTGACGCGAGCCATTAATTTCACAGCAATTTTATGAACACCACTGAACATCGGCACATGAAGCTGCATCCACTGCCAAATGTGATTAAAAAGCCCTCGATATATCAGACAGTAGACACACCAGCACACCGTGAGAGCCCAGCCACCACAAAGCTGAGTAGAATTTCTGGAAATTAATTTCACTATTTTGTTATTTCGCAAAGCTTTTTCAAATGTTGCACTATGAAAAATGTTACACTGCCACAATCGGTTTACATTGAGCTTGCAAACGAGCAATTTCCACCTCACAGAAATGCCTTAGAATGATTTATGTTTTGCACAACCATCTCAGATTTAATACCGTTTTTGTTGCTGTTTTTAAATAAATTCGCGAGGGTATGGAGTCAAATCGCCAAGCGCACTGGTCTAAAACACCGGGGGCATTCCTCCGAACGTAACCTTCAAGGCGAAGCCTCTTCCCCCTGAACGGCCATTTTGCTGACACTGCTGGCCACTGTTGCTCGGGCAACGCGTGCACATACTCCCTAGAAATATAGTTCTTCTTTAATATGCAACATTCAGAAATTATAATGCCATCTCAAAGCATGAAGAGGGCCGTGCAGTGAAATTGAATTACAGCCCCTAATGCTGTTACAGCAATATTGTTCTAAATTAGAGACGTAATACGATTATTCCACTGCCAAGCAGAACATTCTAGTGTAACGCTCACAATTGACACCGCTCAAAGAGAGAGAGGGGGGGGGGGGACAAAACAAAAACATTATTGGATTATTTTGAACGAGAAGCATAGATTCAGGATGATGATTATAGTATGAGATTATTCATCCGCGAGATTTATGCCACAGCTTGAGCAGAAAAACACCGGATCAAGTACTGACGAGCATCTTCTTGGTTCTTTCAGTAAAGTCACGTAAAAGGGAAATAATAAAAAAATAAAAATAAAACATAATTTCAAATAATTCTCATGACGTTTCGGCCACAACGCAAGCAGCCGTCCTCAGGTGAAGAACAGGTCTGTCATTCAGACGCTGTCTTTCCGACAGACCTGTTCGTCACCTGAGGACGGCTGCTTGCGTTGTGGCCGAAACGTCGTGAGAATTGTATTTTATTTTTATTATTTTATTATTTCCCTTCAACATGACTTTACCGAAAGAACCAAGAAGATGAATCCCTGCAGTCACGAAAGCTTTAAATCGAAATCTATACTGACGAGCAGTCTCAACCAGGTATAAACACAGGACTGAGCCCCTTCTGTTGCCTACGATATGAGGTGGTGGTTCTTCCCCTGGCAGTGTTTATGGCACTGGTGTGTTAAGACACCAATTACACAGGTGTTTGAAGACACCTGCCACCTTGTGCTTGCTATTCACCAAACAATTAATAGAAATCAACGTGTTATTGAGAGACTACATTGTACAAGCTGCCACAAACTATAAATCACATTTTTTTTATTGTTCTGAAAATGCCCATAAGCCAACACATTGGCTAATTTATGTTTGACTTAAGACACTGCTATTTAATGATTAACAAAGGTAAATTACTTGAAATATGCCTGCTGGCAATTCAGTTGCCAAAACATTACCTCGTATTTTACCTCACATGTAATTTGAAAAAAAAAGGATTAAATTCAGAAACGTTAAACGGTATTAGACAGTAACTACTTTAACAGCAATAAAACAAACACATTCCTGCGGAGGGAGCTGGTAGGAACGTTGGGTTGCTCGGTCAATGGCCAGGGTCAATGGCCAGGGTCAACGGCGGCGTGGTGTATTCCGCAAATATGCCCGACTGTGAGGGCGGGCACAAGCCGGTGTGAGTAGGTTAAACGTTGAGTTTTATAAGGGCACCACGGGGTGACCAGCCCCTCCCCACCCAGCCCCACCCCTCCCACCACCCACCCACCCAGCCCCTCCCCATCCTCCCCACCCAGCCCCTCCCCACCCAGCGCACCCTTCCTACCCCCCACCCAGCCCCACCCTCCCCACCCAGCCCCTCCCCACCCTCCCACCCAGCCCCTCCCCACCCTCCCCACCCAGCCCCTCCCACCCTCCCCTCCCCGCCCAGCCCCACCCTCCCCACCCAGCTCCTCCCCACCCTCCCCTCAATGATCAATATGTAATTGATTTATGATAATCACAGGAACAATTTGTGGCCTGAATATAACAAACCGTGCTCGGCGAGGATTACTTTAATTCGACTGCCCGCCCGGCGTCCCAAGCAGTCATCAGCTGAGCCTGATGCGACAAGAGTCTGAGTTGTAGACATTTCAACGTGGTACAGAGTTCAAGCTGATGCTGGATAAATTGCAGAAAGCAGATTCTACTCGACATTGACCACGGGATGCTCGTCGCACACATGTGCTATGCACCACATTCAAATCAGGTAATTTAAAACCGCAGCACGTAGGTGAAACTGTTTTGCTTGATTGAACACATCAATATAGGTTGACATACTGTGCTGATAACACTGAGGTAAAATGTGAGATTTTTGAATAAATTAAGTGCCAGACTTGGCCTTGATTTATTGATTGCAAATCGTTTAGCCAAAGAAATCGACTGCAATGTAATACAATTTAAAACGAGGCACATTTAACATCGAATTCATTTAGTTTATAAATACTGAGAAAAGGGAAGGAATAATACATTGCTTATTTTGCTTGAAAGTTTATTTTACATTTTTTTGTATCATATTTCAAATAATGATGGTGATTTTCTAAAATTGTCTTGACCATGCTGCTAACGTGGCCTTGCAATCGATCTCCTGGCGTGGCAGCTGAAACAAGTTTGGAAGAGTAGACCAAAACGTCCTTTCTGCAGGGATCTCTAGAGCTTTCTATATCAAAGGCCCTCCCGACAGCAGTGGCGCCAGCGAGTAAATGCAGGGCTGCACCTTTACCACCTTTGTACTACGCTTCTTTAACAACATCATATTCATTTAGTTGCTGAGTACAAAAAGAGGAATGCAATAGCACATCATTTATAACGCTTGCTCGGTGTTTCATTGGCAAGTAATACATCAAATAACTACGGCAGTTTGTCTCTCTCTCTCTGATCCATCTGTGTCTTAGAGAATGAGCACCGTTGCCCACCTTCTGCGAGCTTTCCAGAATGCTCAGCGGCGCCTCCTGGCAGGATCTTGCTGATGTACGCGCCGATCTCCCCGTCTCTTCCCGGAACCTCTTTCCCACCAACGACTCGGACGCCAAGTCCGTTCCCTGCACGCAGAGCAGCTTGCTTCCTTAGCAAGACAGCCAAACCTCCAGCAGGTGATGCATGCTGATGACAGATGAGTAATTATCTCTCTCTCTCTCTTGAGTTTTCATGCATAAAACACATTGCACCTGGCAGGTCAACAATCTCACAGCCAGGTGTCCTGCAATGAATTTCTTAAGGCAGTGCATTTTTATTCTTGCATCATCAAAGCTAACATTGAAGAAGGCGTACATTTGAGCGTATCTACAAAGTATTGTCTGCGTGACAGCTTGAAACCAGGCTTAGTTGCTAGAGGGCAGACTGTACAGCTGTATAGCTTTTTTTTTGTAAAATGTATGTATTATGCAGTCAAATATGCCACGTCTAATATTCTCATAGCAGATCTTCCTGCACTGCATTCAGCCGTGCATTACAATTCATTCACTCATTTATGGCGGGGAGGGGGGGGGCCCCAAAAAAGGTGTTATTTGCTAATTTTGCAAAAGTAATTACCAGCAGACGGATCTTCATTCGAGTTAATGGGTGGATGCAGTATGGGACAATAATTGCGTGGTGCCAAGCAAAATAGAGCGTGGAGTACATGGCAATGACTTCTCGAGCAGCACCACAGCTGCCAGTGCCCATTTACTGCCATCCCATAAGCTGTGCTACAAAAATGGGATTTGTTCTGCTGCCTCTTTCTGCTTGGGTATATAAATCTGGCCCCGGAGTGTTTAAACAACAACAAAACAAGAGCAAAAATCTATAATTATATGCATCTGATCACCATTATAGCATATTCTGCATTATGTATTTAAGACAATGTTTGGCTGGCAAACTTTGATCAACAACCTCTGAATTTCAAAATGAAGAAGCAGCACACATACAGATCAAACAGGTACAGGTAGAACGCAGCTATTAAGGCCAGCAGAGCATATGGCACATGGTGGAGTAATATGGTAAGGACCATGCCTGGCTGTCTTTGTCACCGTTGAAAGTTGATGTTGATACACCCATACCAAATATTATTTTTGAAGTGCCATCAACCGCGGACAAAGGGTGTTTGTGCACAACTGTGCTGGCAGTGGCGCACAAGCACGAGTAACACAACAAAAACCACAACAAACTCAACGCACTCGTCAAATAACGTTGCCTTGAAAAGAAACTATGGACACAAGGCTACGTTTTGGGCTATGGCCCTTCTTCACAGCACATAGGGTGGCCAGTGCTGTGAAAAAGATCCATTGGGTCATTGCTCACAATCTCGCATATTATGTTTTCTATTTAAGGCAGTGTTATTGATGAATGTGTTGAGTTTTTGTTAATTTAACATTATAGACTGTTCGGGCGAGGGCTGTAAGGGAATACCTATTAATTCCAGTGCGATGCACATGCAGGTTATTTGGCCAGCACCATAACTTGCCGTCTTTTGACTTCCAACTGCTGACATTTGCGCACCATCCCGGGTGCTCATTCATAGCTCAAGTGACTTAGCAGAGGCCCATGACAGTTTGAGGTGCCACATTTCACCGATTTTTATTCACTGCAGGGAATCAAATCCAGGTCACCAGGGACATAATCACTGCACCAACGCTCGCTACCATGCGCCAAACTGTGGGCTCGTCACCGCTATTTAGAACAACAAAAATAAACAATCTCTCCCCGCCACAAAGTTGCCGAGCGAAAAATCATTCCAGTCTATTGATGATCGAGGGGTGGCAATGTTTGCAGCATCGGCTCGTCAGTGGAGGAACGACAGCTGGTCCGAAATGCAGAATTCCCAGGGTCCGCCTCCGGGTCATGGCTAGGAGCAGGACGAGAGCTATAGCCGGGCCCACCTGACATGCTGTGGTCCTTGGCGTCTTGTTGAAGCTGCACTCTGGCGTGCGGGAAATCGTAGCTCTGCGGGGGGTCGCTGATCTGACAAGGCACATCGTTCAGCGCGGCGCGACCGCAGGCAACGGTGGGTTATAGCGTGCGTGCGTGCGGTGACAACGCCGCTACAGAAACGTCCAAGAAAGCAAGGGAGATCCAATGCGCCTAACGTGATTCACGTTGCAAGAGTTATAATTATAATAATTATTCAAATGGAGAATGCGCATTTCATCCTAGGATCCCAATGCGCAATGCACGGAAAGCAGGAAACAAAAACAGAACCAGGACAACCGACCAAACTAAAGAAGGAAGGCCGGTTTAAAGAGATGGGTTTTCAAAGGAGACTTAAATATATCTACCGACTCTGATTTCCTGATTTCAAGTTGCAAGGCGTCCCGCAGCTTTGGGTGCCACGCTAACAAAAGCCTGATCGCCAAAAGAGCGCAACCTAGATGGCATTAATAAACAAACATGTTTTACGCACATGTTATATAATGCACGTGTCTTCTTGGTTCTTTCTGTAAAGTCACGTAGAAGGGAAGTAATAAAATAATAAAACGTTTCGGCCACAACACAAGCAGCCGTCCTCAGGTGAAGACCAGGTCTGTCGAGGCGACAGCGTCTGATCTGACAAGGCACATCGTTTCATTTAGACGCTGTCGCCTCGACAGACCTTGTCTTCACCTGAGGACGGCTGCTTGCGTTGTGGCCGAAACGTCGTGAGAATTATATTTTATGTTTTATTTTTATTATTTTATTACTTCCCTTCTACGTGACTTCACCGAAAGAACCAAGAAGATGAATCCCTGCAGTCACGAAAGCTTTAAATCGAAATTTAATGCACGTGTGTTACATAATACATGTGCGTGTGGGTTATATGTAGGGCCCAAATGTTTCACGTGATAATTGTGACCATTTACAGAGCATTTTTAGTAAACTGTACTGCTGGGTGGATGAATGCCTCCCGATGCCACGCAGCTCATTGGAGGTCATGTGAATATACTTCACTACGCAGGCCAGCGCACATTGAAGGGAGGGGGAACTGATAGGATTCAGTTTCAGTTTCATTTATTAGGAATAACCCTGTGAGCCATGCAGCTCTTGACACGGGTGCAACCGAGGATTGGTTCAGATATCAGCTGTGGCCAGGAATCAAATTAAAATTGTTGGGTTCATACCACAGCGCAAACCATTTATACATTTTAGCTTCTGTGTGTATATACATATATATTTGCCTTGCAAGACCATAAGGGATGGAGATGGCTTAGGGATGGCTTTATCCAGCAGGTGATAAATCATGGCTGATGATGATTTATATACACGTGTGCATATTTAGCCAGGGAGCACAATTGACGTGCAAACATCAACTAAAATGTCGTTTCTAAAGTAATTTTTTTTTTAAATTATTTTACCAGGTCACGCCCACTGGGCTATATAGCTCTTTTTTCAGAAGCGACCTGGCCACAAATGAGTGCTGAACGAATTGGCTTATCATGTGGAATTGTACAGCAGCCAAATACTCTAAACGCATATTTCTAAATGTGGTGGGAAAAACTGGAGGACCCGGAGAAAAATCCACGCGACCGCGAGGAGAACATGCAAAATCCAAATATACAGCAGCAGGCGTCATTGTCAGGATCGAACCCACGACCTCCTGCACACCAGGCGAGGTAGATAACATCTCGCCACCATGACCATTGTAGCCAATGCGCAAAAGCCAATACATATAGGATATTGGCAATGTAGCTGCCTTGAAATTGGACCAGTTATAAGGATGAATGGCCATATTACAATTATGTTGCCTGTACCACACACGCCTTGTTGCCCTTTGAGGAGCATCACCCCTCTCCCACCAAAGTTTAAAGCTTCTCATTTTCACTGCAAATCTATTGGTGGGCTTTATCAGTCTCATGACATTTCACGAAAGTGAAAACAGCTCAGGTGCCCCCTTCGTATAGGGGTGCACATGCTCATCAAGCCCTAACTTTAACCTGGTTTTACCCATCGCACTGACCATGTAGGCTCAATATAGGTCCAATATTGATGTAGTGTGAGATTGTGGTGACAAAGCTGCTGTACACTGTGTACGCAGAGGTGGTCAATTTCAATGAGAATTGATCTTCATTGTTGATGAAATTCAAATTACATTCCCAATAGATTTTTATGGCAGAATTTTTTTTTTCTTCCTGCGATCGACTTTCGCTTGGCGACTCTTCTGGGCTCAGTGCTGATTTCGGAGCTTATTCTCTGAGGAGTTATCACCAGCGCCAGTCTGCAGCCCACACGAGACTTCCTCCTAAGCAGAGTTAGTTACTGTGGCATTAAAGGGATCACGGCATCGGTAGGCACATGAGGTCTGCTGGGCCAACGCGAAGCGCACACCAGACACCGCGCGCGTGCTCTACACAAACGCTCGCTGTACTCACCTGCAAGGGGTGGTATCCTCCATGCTTGCTTTTGGAGTGATCTTCATGGAACGAGTCACGAGGCTTATCGAACCAGTTGGTGTCTTCACGCCTCAAGTGGTATGCTTTAAAAAGTCAAAACGGAGCTCTGGGGTAAGTGGGGACGGGGGGCACGGTCCTCGGTAATGGAGCCGCGTCGCGCGAGCACACGCAAAACGGACACCTCCAATCTGGGGAGGGCGCGCATGCAGATCCGTGGCGTGATTGGTTCATGCAAAAATCCATGGCGGGGTAAAAAAAATGTGCACGTATATATATAAAAGAGCATGCAAAAGAATAGAGAGTAACAAAAAGAAAGTGGTGTGAAGACATATTTTCAAGTATATTTTTTTTAAATACAACAGAGAAAAAAAATAAAAATCTGCAGCATGAATGATCGCGTTTTTTTCTTCAGCAATTCTTGCATTTCATATGAGGTAGCTTGTGCTTTGTTTTCAAATCGAATGAAAGTTTGTCCAAAGTAATTTCGCTGTAGTCATGCGCAACTAAACGTTGCACACACGCCGATCCGCAGATTTGTTGAGGAGGCGCATGCAGTCCAGCAGCAAAACAGGAAGAAGAAAAAAGGAAAAAAGAAGCAAAACACAGAGAAAGTAAAAAAAAAAGCACATCCAGGGTGGCATTTGAAGCAGTCGCTGACCCATCCGCGTGCATCCGTGCCCTCGGGCGGCAGAGCCGTGTCTGGCGCGGCACACATTCCCCCCGCTCAGTTACCTTCGCTGTCCGACATGGCGTGCTGCAGGTCGTCCAGGATGTACGCCACGTCGCGGTCGTAGCTACGCCGGTGCAGCTCCTTGATGTGCTGCTGCACTTCGGGCAGCGAGTGGCTTGAGCCAAACTGCTCACGCGTGTCGGCTGAGATGGGCGGCAGGGGCCCCGCGGCCGCCCGCGCCATGCCCATGGGCTGGCCCACGGGACTCAGAGGGCTCTCTTCCTCCGAGTTCTGGGCTACGATGGGGATCCTCCCCTTGCTTTGGCTGATGATGAGATTGGGTGGCTTGCACCTCAGTTTCACCCCGGCGGCTCCCGGCACGTACGAGCTCATGTCCAGCGAGTCGCCATCTTTGGCCCCCGTCGTCGCCGCCGCCGCGGCCTGCAGCTCGTGCTTAGTCATGGTCAGGTCGAGCCCGTGAACCGACGATGGCCGGGAGCGGGTCAGCTCGATGCCGTACACGGACGAGGGCCGAGAACCGGCGCCTTCCATCCTGTAAATGGACGATGGCCTCGATTTACTGCAGTCGAGCCCGTAGACGGACGTCGGCCTGGATCTGCTGCTGTCCATACCGTACACAGACGAGGGTCTCGACCTGCTGTCCTCCAGGCCGTATGCAGACGTGGGCCTTGAGCGGGTGCTCTCCATGCTGTAGACTGAAGCGGGCCGAGATCTTGTGACGTCCAGACCATAAACGGACGACGGTCGCGATCGGTTGCTTTCGAGGCTGTACACCGACCTTGGCCGAGAGCGAGTGCCGGTGCTGCTCAATAAGTCAAGCTCGTTCGTGTGTCCCCTCGTCGTGAGCACCGAGAGCTTCTGCTGCTCCTGGATATTCTTCCTGAGGCCGTACGTGATGTCTCCCTGCAGCTTCTTGGCTCGCATCACAACGGTGGATGCCGCCTCCGTGGCCGGAGTCGTGGTTAAATAGGAGGGAAATTCAGACTCGACGTCTTTGGCTTCCTCAATTGGAGAGAACTTGGAGACCCTATGCTCGACGCCCAGCTTTCTGGATTTCAGCTGCTTGTTCGAAACAACGGCCGGCATCAGCTGCTTCGCAGCTTCCTTTTCCAATGTGATCCTGCCGATGCTGTAGCGATCTGACTTCGAGGGGTGCCTGTATTTCACGTCGCCATGGTAGAGCGTGGCGGTTCCTAAGTGATCCAAAGGGTCAGACCCCCTCTGAAACTCCTGCTTAATCTGCTGCTTCAACAGCTTGAGCTCGTAGGGATCTTTCATCGACTCGTCGTCGATTTTCCTGTGCATGTGTGACCTCGGCGTGCTCGACGTGCTTATGTAGTCGCTGATGTCCGACATCCTCTTTGGGTCCCTGGAGTGATGGTAGCGACGCTCCACTCTGTGCGTGCCCCCCAAGCTGAACGTGCCCCCGATGGCCGCGCCTTTCGTGAGCTCGTTAATGTCGTCGATCATCACGTAGTTGCGCGCCGCCTGGTGCTCGAGATCTGCGTAGAATGACTCAGCGGAAATGCTCGACATGGGGCTGCTGGCCATGCTTCCCCTCTCCTCCAGCGCCAGCCGAAGGTCAAGGTTGTCGTACATCTCGACCGCCGACGTGGGCGACATTAGCAGAGGGTGGCTCTGCTGCAGCAACTCGTAGTTGGCCTTCAGCTTGGGGTCCAAGTTGATCAGCTGGGAATGCCGGGGCTTCTGCGCGAAGTGCGGCTGGTGGTGCGGGTGCATCGTGTGGCCCTGCGCATAGTAGGACGTGCCCGGCGTGGCTTGATACCCAGGCTGAGGACCCGTGGCCATCTGGAAGCTCGTCGTGTGGTAGGGAGCGTGATGGCTTCCCAATGTCGGGTAGGTGGTGGTCAGGTAATCTGCCTGGTGGCTGGGCATCGGCTGGAAACTTGTGGCCTGATAACCAGCTAGGTGGCCGCCCAAGGTAGGGAAAGGGGTGGTCTGATAGCCCGACTGGTGCATCGGCAGGGTTTGGAAGCTGGTGGTCTGATACCCGGCCTGCGTTGTGGAAATGGTCTGGTGGCTCGTCGTCTGGTACGCGGGGCGGTGCGCTTCCAACGTGCTGTAGCCTGCGGCCTGTGACCGATAGGGGACCGGCTGAGTCTGATAAAGCGGCTGCGGCTGGTAGGGCGCCTGCTGCAGGTACGAATTACTCGGCTGCGTGGTGGCGCCGGGGGTGTGCGAGAACTCGATGTTGAGCGAGTGGCGTGCGTTCGGAGCCAGGTACTGGGCGTACTGGTGCTGCGGCGCCGTCCTTGGCCGCTCGCCCTGGCGGCCGCCCTCCGCCACGGTGCCACGGATGTTGCTGACCTCGCTGTCGGACATGTAGTCGCGGTCCTCGGCGACGCCCCGCAGGTAGGCCCTCTCCCTCTTCTCGCGCTCCTTCAGCAGGGCGTCCTTCCGCCGGTTGATGCCCATCTCCAGGTAGCGAAGCTTGGCGTCGATCTCCTTCTCCTCCTCGTCCAGCTCCGCCTGCCTCTTGCGCAGCTTTGACGACTCCTTCTCCACAATCTCGAGCTCGCGGTCGATGTCCTGGATGAGCTTGGCACGGGCCATGGTGCTCGTGCGCCCGATTCGCTTGCGCGGGATGGACGCGACGAACGAGAGCGAGTTTGCGGAGCTGGGTGCCGGCGCGTCCTCCGGAGGGGGGTTGGGCAGCGTCCGCTTGACTTTCTTGCTCTGAGCCAGGGCCGCCGCTGCCGCCGCCGCCGTCGATTGCTGCGTGGGTTTGATCTGGAATGAAAGGGGGCGTTCGTTCACAAGAGCACGGCGTGCGACGTGAGGGCACAATTAATACTGCACACCGCTCCACGATTCCTCTCGCCGGAAACGGTTCAACGGCTAACGAGGGGCGGGTTCGGTGGCACATGACGATAATCCAGCTCTATGGAGATGCGGTCGGGGAATCGTGTTCTGATCATGTGCGCAATATGCCCGATTTGGAACAGCGTGTTATCAAATGCAGGAGGCAGCGGAGCAAATACGTTGCCGACCTATTTGAGCGCTGCCAAATTTATTTATTTGTTTTTCTCCTTCCTGTGCACGCATGCGTTCCTTCAAAGTATTTCAGTTTCACACCACACACCTCGTTAAATTGGGTCACATCCCACAGAGCAGCCTCACGATAAAATATTGATGCTCAGTGAAGTTTCCCTGGATAATTATAACTGTTATACCTACATTAATTGTGAAAATCCGAAGTGGTGTGGAATTATCTCACTGGCCATTCAATACCTCCAGAATTCCCTGTCATTACCCTGATGTAGCCATTGCCTACTCCAACTATAAACTGTTGCTCAATATGCCCGGTAGATTTCAATGACACGCAGCAATGCACATTTAAAATTGACATTGTAAGAATTATTTTGCACCACGTATCGCCATTAACTTGTGGCTGAGCCAATTTCTTCCAACAGCAATCACCATTAAACTAACATGTGCACCGTGATTAATTTATTTTCAATGCATAGAGTAAATGAACCATAAAATTAACCAACTTCCTATAGTTTAAAAAATAAGACCAACACATTCCCCAATGTTATATTATTGTCGATAGCAAAACATGCACACTCTCATTGCATTTGTTATTGGTAACTGAGAGCAAAGTGAAAAAGTGGTGAAAAATAAACACGTCTTTCTTCCTGTGTATTAAATGGAAATTATTAATTATCGCGCTAACTGCAAAACCGTTGAACATTCTGCCAGCTACCTGTCGGCACCATGCAGTTGTAATCTCGGATATTTTACTGTAATTGTTTTTTTTGAAGGCAAAACATGAAATCATTTAGACTCCAGGTCACGATCACCATTGATTTTCCGAGAAAACAAATATATTCTAAACCAATCGATATCCTGTCTGCATTCGATCAGTGCTTATTAAGCCCTTTTTAATTTACAGGTGCTACAAACCGACCTTGCTGCCATTGAGCACGTACACGCTAGTTGATTAAATGAAATTCATGTGAGTTAGTGCACTTCAATGCTTCATCGTCGTCTTCATTAGATGTGTTATGTTATTTTCACAGCATCATGGAACACAGTTTTAAACCTGACAATATATTTTAAAACCTGGTCTCTCACCATAAAATGTGTTTTTAGTGATTAAGAAAAGGTATACAATTATGAATCTCACATAGAGAGTAAATCTTCTCTTTAAGGTGGAGTTCAATGGTATAAGCCCGCAGCAGATGATCATCAGCCATTGTGATCATCTGATCCGACCATTTACTGCAAGATCCGACCATGTCTGTCCAGTGTTCGCCGAGCTGCATTGGCTTATGGTTGCCGAACAAATAGATGATAAGGTTGAATTCGTTACACATAAAGTGCTTGCCACAAATGAACCACAATACCTTGTTGATCTCATCAATGAGCATACACCATCATGCGAACTCCGGCCATCCTTGCAGCGTCTTTTGGCTGGCCCTCGAACAAAAATGGCCACTGCATCGTGTGCATTCAGATGAGCTGCGACCATCTAGAACGCTCTTCCTTCCGATATTAGGTAGCCACTGGAGCTATGCACTTTTTAATCATCTAGATTGAAAACTCATTTCTTTAGAACTGCTTTTTGTGTTTAATTTGTTGTCCTTCTCCCGCACATCCGATTAGCACAGTTGGCTATGTACGGTGCGAAAGAAGTTCAACGTACATACACACATGATCTATCCACTGCTAAATGAAGACCTCCCCAATCTGTCATCATCCCCCATAATCGCGCGATGTAACAATCCGTTTAGTTTCTGCACACGCACAAGCTGATGTCAGCACTCTAATGTGCTATGAAGAAGGGCCATTGCTCAAAATGTTGCCGATTTTATAGAAATATTTATTTTCAGGCCGCAGTGTTATTGAGTTCATTGGGATATGGTAATTTTTCGTGCAGCAATTGATGGCAAACCAATATTCACCTTTCAAGCAGCTGCACCGTGGCTAACTCCGCCACTAAACGGGCCTTCCAGATCAGTGCCTGTCCGCTTCGATATGTGCGCCAGTTACTGCACCCACCCCGCGCTTACATCCACCAACATAATTTCACTCTGACTTAATTACATCTACAACACAATTTGGGTTTGGATGCATCCAGTTAACTTTTAGCGAGATCCTGATGGATGGGCGACATCTGATCATGGTCAATTATTTGTAAATGCAGACGAATTTAAACTTGCGTTCTCTGCACGCGCGTGCCTCTGACAGAAAATAAGCAACGAGCATAATGAAGAGCGCTCACTTATAGCGCTGCCCATCGTTGCTCCGAATAACAATCAACACCACCAATATGTATTTCAGTGGCAGCTGTCACTAGAGCTGCCGTATATTAAAATTAAAATATCTATAAAAAATAACTTTTGACTTGCAGCTGGAAGTACTGAAAGGATTCGTAATGGAATCCCTCTTTGCATTGTGATATTATAATTGCAGCTCAAGTCGTGGACGAGGTGCGTCTGAACAGAAAATGCCACTTAATCTGCAGGAATTATAAGGTCCTGCTGCGTGCATCAATGTGAAAAAGAAGCATCAGTGTGCGCGTATGGTTTGCCAGGCAAAGGTGGCACAAACATCCTTCAATTTGGCATCAGAGAGAGAGAGATGCAATTGAGGCTTTCAGGCAGCGCAGTCGGTTCTGCCCAAGATTGACGCTGTATTAAACCCAACTAAACCAGGGCACATGTCATAGGTATGGCCTCCCTACCTCCCTCTCTCTCTCTCTAAGAGCCATTACAGCTTCCAGGAACCCATCCCAAGGGCAGGCAATAACAGTGCCACAGCCAAAGGAAATACATTCACACATACCTAATGCAAACAACAAAAATGCAAAGCATTCTTATTTGCAGGCCAAAGTGCAAAAAAACCCAATTCACCATGTCCGCCACCACTACTGGCTTCTATTACATTGGCTGGTTATGTACGGTGCAAAAGAAGTTCAACATAAATATATATATATTCGTCTGTTGTGGATGGGCGGTGCAGTTGTTCGGCTAACTGCGCTGCAAATCCGGTGATCTAAGTTGTATTACTGGCCATGGCTGACATCAGTGACGAGTGATATCGTGAGAACCCCTCCGCACCATCACCACCTCTTCACAAACCTGCACTGACTAACGCCCATGACCGACAAGGCATGGGGAGGCCTTCACACAGTGAAATTACATTATAATCTTTTTCCTATTCTTGGTTCTTTCGGTAAAGTCACGTAGAAGGGAAATAATAAAATAATTTTTATATTTTTATTATTTCCCTTCTAGAAAATGAATCCCTGCAGTCACGAAAGCTTTAAATCTAAAAAAAAACGTATTACTAGTATTATGGCGAGGCAGTGTTCATTTCAGATAATCTAAATTAACCACAAACCGGAACTAGAAACTGGAATTAACGATTTATTTTCATGGATTGAAACCAAAAAGCTACTCTCTCCATGTCCGTTTGTCTCTCGGAATCTCAATTCGTCTCTCTGTAGCTCTGTCTCTCTGTAGCGCTGTCTCAGTAACTCGCAACACACAGAAATGTTTTTTTTTTGCGTTAGATCGCGTAAATATATAAATGTGTCGTTAAAACCCACCACCACCCGACACAGCCAACTAGTAAGGGTTGTCACGTAAACAGAACGTGCCAATTCGTCACTAGTACAGCACACCGGTGTGTTGGAGAGCCAAGCCACAACATTTTCAGTCCGAGTACGACGTTTCGTCAATAATTACAACTAGCTTCATCAGGTGACAGACAGATTTGTGGCGGGTTTTAATGACACATTTATATATCTAACCCCTAAAAAAAAAACCTCTATTACGGATGATATTGGTCGCGAAAGCCTATGTGTTAAAGACACAGAAATGTGTTTGAAGCAACTAAAACACATCTCTCTCTCTGCTTTGCAAATAGACATTGCACATTGGCAGTGTAGCAACATAAAGGCCTCCGATGTAATCTATATTGTAAAATGCAGCCTGTATTGTAAAATAGAATATGCAGGGGATCATTGTTTAGGCTACAGGGAAGATCTTCGTTTTGCAAAATTTGTTGTTGATATTTTTTGAGCTAATATGCAAATTCAAAGTGATTAAAACCTGTTTTTTTTTGCAGATGGTTGACTATAAGTTAAAGTTCTGTGACCATTTTGAACGGATGGAACAATAATCAGTTCAGTTGGTTTGGGGGTAACCTGAACCATAGCCAAAAAAATTAACCCATAAAAACAAAGTTTTTCACTATAAATCCTTTATATGCGTGGCGGCTAGAGTCCTCTCGTTTTCTGGCTTGAGATGGCTGCCACCTATGGGTCAGATGATTGCCTGCCACCATTAAGCAATTGGTAATTAAATATAATTAATTTTTTCCTAAAAAGTGTAAAATTTTGGGAAAATTTTTTTTCACGAAAATAAATTGTCATGCACAACGAGTCTGTGTGCAAAATGTCAGCTCGATTGGATCACGGGAAGTGGGTTAAAAAACGACCGAAAGATTTGCACGGTCGTAAGCGCGCAAGCGTGCAAGCAAGCAAGTGAACTTAATAAAAAGGATTTAAAAAATTTACCCGTAAAAACAAAGTTTTTCACTATAAATCCTTTATATGCGTGGCGGCTAAAGTCCTCTCGTCCTCTGGCTTGAGATGGCTGCCACCTATTGGTCAGATGATTGCCTGCCACCATTAAGCAATTGGTAATTAAATATAATTCATTTTTTCCTAAAAAGTGTAAAATTTTGGGAAAAAAAATTTCTACGAAAATAAATTGTCG